AAACCGAATTGCCTATGGGATAGAAGGTCCCAAAATTCACGAAATTTTTTGGAGACACTAATGAATCTACCGTCGAACATGTGGCAAGGTATCAAACTGAGGTAAGGAACATTGCGAATAATGAAAATTTGATAATAAAATACTTCCTCAGTTCTCTCACTAAGAATGCCTATACATGGTTCACTACGCTCCCAACGAATTTGATTTATGATTGGACTCGTCTAGAAATATTACACCATGAACAATTTTACATGTGACAATCAAAGATTAGTTTGAAGGAATTGGCTAGTATTAAGTGCAAATTTGTTGAGCCAGTAGATGATTATCTCAATAGGTTCAATTTGGTAAAGTCAAGGTGTTTCACACAAGTTCCTGAGTACGAGTTAGTCGAAGTGGCCGCTGGTGGTTTAGATTATTCCATCAGAAAGAAATTAGATACTCAATACTTGAGGGATATGTCGTAGTTGGCTGACAGAGTTCGACAGGTAGAGCGCCTAAAGGCTAAAAAAGCCAGAGCAAGTAAGAATAATAGAAAAGAAAGGGTAACATATGTCGAATTAGATGAAGATTATCAAGAAACATATAGTGACCCTTTAAGTTTCAATGAAAGTGAAATCGACCTGGCCGAATTAAAACAAGGGCCACCCTATTCATGCAAGGTTCTTGCACCTTCGAATGGGAAAAATTATGTCGGACCGGAAAAGAACGACAAATTCCCTAAGAAAACATATACTTTTTACGTTACCATATGTGACAAATTTTTTGACTTATGAGTCAAAGATGGCTAAATGATAGTGCCTCATAGCGCTAAAATTCATCCATTAAAACAACAAAAGAGAAGAGGGTTTTGCAAATATCACAAATTTGGGCCACAAAACCTCACAGTGTTTTTTTTTCAGGATTCTGGTGCAAAATGCGATTAAGGATGGGAGACTGAAGTTTAAGAACAAAGCTAATTCCCAGATGAAGATAGATACAGACCCTCTGCAGGTGGTGGATGCCCATTAAACTAAGCCTTCCATTATCAACATGGTCGAAGTGTCTGAAGGTCTTGACAAAAATACCACTATGATCGAAACCACTGAGGATTTCAATCAGGAAACCAACATAATTGAGACTACTGAGGGCCTTAGAATCAAATTGCAAAAGTTGAAGATCATTGATGGCACCAGTTTGAAAGTTAACATGGTCGAGGTGAGAAAAAAGACTAAGGTGGAGGATGACGAGGAAAGCGCCCAATGAAACAAAAAGCAAGTGAAGGTGGCTTACCCAAAGAATGACGAAAACTTAGTGGAGTTCCTCCTCAGGTGCCAACGAAAGAAGTCTATAGTGATGTTGTGCCATATGTGCAGCTCTGTCTTTGACAAAAAGGCTGCGGAGAACATAGAGAGAGTTCGAGTGGCTAGTCGCAGAAGAAATTGTAAAGATACACGCAATCACTAAACCTTCGATAAAAGGGGAGCCCCTCGAAGGCAGGAACAAGGAGGTCTAAACCTCCAGGCTAACATGTCATCTACTTTTAAACCAACAGCTGACGCTTCCAAAGGAAGATGGGTGAAGCCTACTGAGAAGAGAAAGCGAGACCTATAGAGATGACAGAGTTTTGAAGTGGGTCGAGGCTCCTTAATAGCCTGCTGAAGGGAATTCCAAGTGTCAAGACAACAAAATTATGGATCTGAGAATTACAAGGGCAAGAATCCCATGTCAAGGTCTTAGTGGCGAAGGCAACAAAAGAGGAGGAAAGCAGAAAGCGAAGCCAACAAGAAAGCGATGGAAGAGTTTAGCAGCAACCAGCCTCCAAAGAAGGATAAAGGCGAAGAGAAAAAGCCAATAGAGAGAAATATTTTCCCTGCTCGAGAGGAAGAGTCTGAAGATAAATCGGAACAACCAACGGCGGATGACAATATGGTTGTCGCACCTCGGAAAATCACGGAGACATTTCGAAGAAACGACCCTCGCGCGAAAGGCGCGGAAATGCGGTTCGACAGAGTCGCCACCGAACTTTATTTTTCCCGAATAAACGGGAGAGGAAAATATCGAGAAAACCTCTTAAAATGAAAAGGATAGGAACAGGGCTGTCGCAACCACGTTTCGGGTTCGAGAGTCGGTTACGTGAGGGGAAGGTATTAGCACCCCTCACGTCCGTTGTACTCAACGGGAACCTCTTAAGGTATTTTGTGGAGAGTGTTGTCTAGGTTTATTTATTTTCTTCTCGATGATAAAGGTAGAATTGGTAAGGTAAAAATGTTTAAATACGCAAAGGAGAAATGGGTGGTTAGTGAATAGGGTGCTCGCCAAGGATTGGGGCCCTTGTGCCTACGTATGCTTATTCAGACGAGAATGAGAAATCAGAGCGTCGTAGTTCGACTACGGGAAAGGATGGGGGAAATCGAAGATGGATAGAAGTGTGCTCGCCAAGATCATCGCAATCTTGTGCCTACGTATCTTACATTCGGACGAGAATGAAGAATCAGAGCAGTCGTAGTTCGTGGTAACAACCACGAAAAGAAGACGGGGAAATGGGAGAAATGGGTAGAAGGTAGCTCGCTAAGATCATCGCAATCTTGTGCCTACGTATCTTACATTCATACGAGAATGAAGAATCAGGGCAGTCATAGTTCATGGTAACAACCACGAAAAGATGAGGTTTGAATTGGTTTGACGTTAAGTTGAGAGATGAAAGAATGACTGACAAACAACCTAAAGGCGTGCCTCAAGAGCTTGTCACTCAAGAATTCAAGGAATGCGAGATCCCAAGAACTCAGTTCTTTCGGAAATTGAGTTGAATAAGTTAAAGATAAGAGTTGGATGTTTTGAAATCGAAAGAATGAACTAATAACAACTCGGGGGCGTGCCCAAGAGTTACTCATTCGAATATTCAAAGAATTCTATATTCTAGGAATATCCCTCTTTCGTAAGTTTAAAAAACGTTTGTGAAAAGATCGAATCGAAAAATGGCATGCGAGGCCAAAGGAAGTTGGTTTGAAAATGGCTCGACGACGAGTCGAGGATTTGATTGAAAAATGAAACCGACTTGATGACGTGTCAAGGGTTAAGATTGTGAGAAAAGATATTAGTCCCTAAGGGTGCCCCTAATATCGAAACCATGAGGAATTGTGAAGTGTGTGCGAAATATCGATGGTTGCGAATGCGTATGAACACTCGACTTAGGATATGTTTGAAAATGTTTGAGTTTGAAAAATCGAAAGGTTGAGTGAATAACAACTCAAGAGCGTGCCTCGAGAGCTATTCACTCAAAAATTCAAGGAATGTTAGATTCCAAGAACCTTCTTCTTTCGGTCGAGAAAGATATTTTGAAAAAATGAATCGAGGGTATGAGAAAGGATTGTGGTACGAGAGGTGCGAATACGATATTGGATTTTTAAAATAAGAGAAATGACAATTATTTGATAAATGAGACGTAGGCCTCACAACCGATTAATTGGGGTATTATCGAAATGCTAGATCTCGACGACACCTTTTCCATTTGGAGAATGTTTGAATGAACGACAGAAATATCACACATAATGCTAGATTCCTATAATATTTCTTTGTCAAAAATAGTGTATTTAAAACGAAAAGTTGAATAATACATTATTTAAGGTGTACACCTTGCTAATGATCATCCAAAAATCCAAGAAATTCTAGACTTCAAAGATTTAATTTGCTTTGAAAAAGTACTCGAGGTGAGTCGAGGTTTGAATTTAAATTTTAAGCGTGTGCACTAGCAAAGTGGGCTAGTCTTCTAAGTGACCAATTAGAAGTAACTGATCAAATAGGTGTCACTGTAAGAAAGCCCAGGATTAAGCTTTAAAATGTTGTGTATGGTGATCAAAGGTTGATGGCGAGGCTTTAAAAGCACTCGACTTACATGGGGTGAAAATTGACTCGATAAATCGAGAATTTAATTTTTTTTAAAATGACTTTGAGACATTAAAGCATAATTAAGAAAAAAAAATATTTATAATAATTATTACATTTGGAGGGGGGTACATTGTTATCAAATGAGAATGAAAAGCAGTAAAAACTTTGTTTCCAACGTCATTTCGAAGTGCAAAAAAAAAAGTTGCATATCGCTCATGCATCCCTTTTCCTCATAATAATATTAACATTAAAACTGACCCCACAATGCTCACCACTTCTAACTGAATATTGCCATGAAATTAAGTCGTAAGACATACACCAAATATTGAAAACAAACTATTTATAACTTTAGCAGCAACACCAGAATAATTCCATAATACCCACACCAGAAATTGACATAAAAGAAACTCAAAACAGTAGCAAGGTGCTGGTCACAAAGTTATGTTCTCAATGCGTATCTAATTTCACCATAAGCTCCTATTTCAATACGAAGAAGAAAAAAAAAGGTGAAAAATAAATAGGCAACCAACTTCGTGACAGCATGCTTAAAACTCAAATGCATATGGTTGCATCATCATTTAACAATTTACAAAATACCAAAATTTGAAACAAGGATAATGCAATATTCACAACTGACTGACAAAATGAAACAATAAACAGAACTGCAACTCCCTGTAATATTTACCGCTCAGATGCAAGATAACAATATCATTTATGGAATTCGAGACCAAGCTTCAATCAAACTACATATTGTACACATCAATTAGAACAACAATATAATAACAATTAATGACCAGAAATAATAACTCAATTGGCTTAAGAAGCTGTCAGAATTCAAAACTATAAACACGCCATTACAGGATACTTATCACAATTAACAATTTTAAGGTAGCATTACCAACACATCACAACACGTTTATCATCATGAACCATAAAACAAAACATGGATCAAGTAGGAAACAACAATCAACTATCAAATGATATGATGGAACAGTCTATCAATTGAGAAAGACTGAGCCAAAAGACAGAAAAAAAACAAATACCACAGCCCACGTCGAATAAGGACCGGAGACAAGAGCTAGATCCGCACAAAATCGATAACATAATGGTTTTCAACTCTTCTTGAAGTTAGACCTTCAGCAAAGTATATTGCGAAACAGAACTTTCTTACAAGGCTTGTGTCGTGCGCGTGTTGTCGGTGCCGTTGAACCAGAATCTCGTAATTGTAGCGAGGAATTGAGACAGAGCCAAGTCTTCCCCGCTTCGCGTTGTTGCATTGCAGAGAACTCGCGGTATGCCATTGTCATCGTAAGTATGAGAGGAACATGGCCGATGTTGTTGTTGATGAACTGATGTTGTACACTTTGAATCCATGTTTCTGCTGTCGAAATTCGAAGTCGCAACCTCTCCGATACGAAACTGCAACAATCACCAAACTTGAGTCTGAACCTCAGATTCAACCTCAAACCTGCAAATTGAACCAGCATAAACAATAACACGAGCTCTTAGGGAAATAATAACAGATAAAAACAGAGTTGAATCGAAAACACGGAACGATATCACCATCTTGCTGCTGTTACTTGTTCATGAACCTGTAAACCACATCAGTTGAAGAACAAAGAAATCGATGACATACTAAACCTGTTACATGTTGTCTGTCGTTGGAAACAGTGTTTTCAAGATTATGTTGAACATTGTTATCTCGGCACCGAGTTGTCAATACAGCAAAATCTTCTTGAGTCAACATTTCAAACTCAGATCTTTAAAGCTACCTGCAAAGAAAAAAAACAGACAATGACTCAAAATCAGCTGCTGCAGGCACGATATGGTGTTATTCTTCATGTCTGTTTCGAAATTGGGGTGAGAATCGGGTAAGCTCGAGTTGGAGATGATTGAGTTGTCGTCGTAGAGGTTGTCGCAGCTGCGGCTGTGGATGACGAGTTGACGTTGTAGCAAAAACGAACCTCTCTCTGCGATATATGCTCTAAAATGTCGAGTTGTTGACACCACTTGAATCTGAGACAGGTTATTATGTTTGGTCGCTTCAAATCAAACCACAAGTTTGTTGCAGAGCCGTCGTTTGAACAATGAGAAACTTCATTACCCACATCTGAAATTGAATGGCGATAATGTCAAATCGAAGTCCAAAAGGGGAGCGGCACCTCAAGTGAAATCGCAAGTTGTTGTCATTATTAGCTCGAGCCCAAAACCTTCATAGCTCATTACGTCTTTGTTGGCCACCGCGAGTTGTTGGGTCGTTGTGGAAGATAACAGGTTTCAATGAGGGATGAGATGAAGAGTGAGCGGCAGACAAGGGTTTAATTGAAACCGTTTTGAAGAAGATAAGGGTGGCGGCCAGGGTTTTATGAGGAAGGTGATGGGATTTTTCGGAGGGGAAAGGGTTTTCGGAGGGGTTTCGCAGTTTGGTGGTGAGAGTTCTCGAAGGAGAAGATGATGGTGGGTTGAGATGTCGGCGGAGGAAGGTAGCTTGAGGGAGGGAAATGATTTTTAGGGTTTCTGAAAGGGGTTGCGGCGCCGCTAGGGTTTTGTTGGGAGGGATAGTGAACAGTGACCTCCTCCCTCTCATCTGAATATTTCCTCTCTCTTATAACGTGCTTTGAATTCACCCTAACGGGCCTCACACAATGGGCCAACCCCACTCCAACTTTCTTTTTTCCATTCAAATTCTGATCATCTTCTTTTTTTATTTTCATTAACATTAAACCTAATTAATATAAACCAACATCTAAAATACTAATTAGTATAACTATAGAAATTAATATCTATATTAACAACTAAATAAACATTTACAAAATATAAAAAACAAACTAGAATAAGAAACAATAGTAATTACTTATTATTAACAATTAACCAATAATTTATTTAAATCCTAAATATTAATAATATTAACAAGATAACAAAATTGATATTTACAAAACTTTAAAATAAAATAAAAAATTAATATTATGTACCTATATATTTAAAACATAAACTAAAATTTTGCTAATTTTAAAAAAATCTTAGAAAAGAAGAAATTACGAAAACACAAATAGAATAAAAACTCAAAGACAACTTTAAGCCATGTGTCACACTCTTATTGGACAAAAATGGATATAATTTTAAAAATTAACCAATTGCAAGCGGACACGTGTCCAAATAACCATAGATTAAACCAAGAATGTAAAACAGAAAAATGGAATCAAAAAATGAAAAAATATTTGAAAATGGGTAGGACAAATTTAGAGTATGACAATGGTAACAGATAACTTCGACACAGAGTCAGATCCCTCTTTAGACATCAATTGTAGCATAATCTACGTGCTGCCAGTAGAGTATGACTAAGTCATGGAGGTCGAAGAGCCCGAGGAAACTATTGAGGTAGAAATGGCCAAACATAGGCCAATATGTTACTATATAATGAACAAAGGTTGTGTCGAAGAACATAATGCTTTATTCGAAAGACCTGATGAAGTAATGAATAATCATCTGAAACCCTTTTTCATCAGGGGAAAGGTGGAGAATGCAGGAACTAACAAAATTTTGGTAGGTGGTGGTGCGGTGGTAAACCTGATGCCATTCTTTATGTTAAAGAAAATTGGAAAATTCGACGCAGATCTCAAACCTCATAACACGCTGTTGTCGAATTACGAAAGAAATATTGACCATACCTTGGGAGTAATCCAAGTATACTTAACAATTGGTACTATCACTAGGCCATCCATGCTTATGGTTACTGTGTCAAAGGCTAATTACAACTTGATTTTGGGCCGTGAATGGATACAAGACATCATGGAAGTACCCTATTTGCTCCACCAAAGAATCTCTATATGGAGGAATAATGGTATAGTAGAAAAGATCGAAGCTAACCAAATCTACTTTATGGCTGAGGTTAATCATGTGGACAAACGTTATTTCGACAAAAATCTGGCGAACATTGCTTCATGTAGTCCCGTTGGGTTTGCATTTGTGCCTACTAATACAACATTTTACTCCCTTCAGCTACATCCAACATATGGTTTCCAATGGGACAAAGAGGTCGTGGGAGAAGACCTTGAATTCAAAGGGATATCAGGCCTCCAACCAACTAGTTGGGGAGACGAAGACAATAACTATGTCTGAGTCTAAAATATTTTAAAAGATTTCGGCTTATATAACCTAAAATAGACTAAAGATGACCTTAGAAGCCGAAGTTAAGTATATGGATATCGAAGCCAGCGAAATAGAGGTGCACCTTGAAGGGCTTAAGATAGATTTCCAACCATAGCCACCCGATAAGATTCAAGATGAGGCGCTAAACCAGAGGCTTGATGCCATCTACGCATGAGTGGTGTTGCCTTTTGGTTGGAAAAATGTTGGGGCGACCTACCAAATAACAATGAACTCCATTTTTAATGATTTTATCGAAACATTTATGCAAATTTATATTTATGATATAGTTGTCAAATCTGTATTAGGGGAAAATCACATAAATCATCTTCGACAGTCATTCGAAAGGATGAGGAAGCATGGTCTGAAGATGAATCCTCTCAAATGTGTGTTATGTATGCAGGCAGGGAAATTTGTAGGCTTTGTAGTCCACAAAAAGGGGATCAAAATCAATCAAAATAATACCAAGGCAATTATGGAGGCGTAAGCACCATCAACAAAGAATGAGCTTCAATCTTTACTCGGAAAGATCAACTTTCTAAAGAGGTTCATCTCAAACTTAAGTGGCAAGACTTAGGCCTTTCCTCCTCTACTTTAACTAAAGAAGGAAGGTTTCGAATGGAGGCAGATGCAACAGTAAGCTTTCGAAAAAATCAAAGATTATCTTGTTCGTCCTCTAATTATGCCTCCTCCTTGTAGAAGTAAAAGTACGAGGTTGTACATTTTCGCGTTTGATGTAACTATAGGGAGCATGCTTGATTAAGAGGATGAAAATGGTGTCGAAAGAGCCATTTATTATCTTAGTCGAGTCCTTAATGATGCAAAAACTATATATAGTGTGACTGAAAAATTGTGTTTGTGACTGTATTTTTCACGTACCAAGTTAAAGCATTATATAAAGCTTGTTGATCTGTATGTTTCGTCTCATTTTGAATTATTAAGCATGTTCTATCTAAGTCAATCCTGCATAGTCAAATTGGAAAAATGGGAATTTTCCTTAACCTAATACTTCTTAACTTATATGCCTTTAAAGGCCATTAAGGGGCAAGTGGTCGCAGACTTTATAGTCGACCACTCCATAGTCAAAAATTCCCAAAATTATATTTTGATGGTTCTAGTCACAAAGATGGAACGAGTATTGAAATATTGATTATCTCTCCTAATAAAATTTCAACAAATTTCAAGTATAGGATTGAAGGTCCTTGCTCGAACAATGAGGTTGAATCTGAGGCTTTGATAGCCAACCTTGAAATTTTGTTGGAATTATGGGGAACTAGAGTCGAAGTAATTGGTGACTTTGAGTTGGTTGTAAAACAGATGACGAAGGAATATAAATGTGTCAAAGAAAATCTAATAGCGTACTTTGTAAAAGCAAATCTACTATTACAAAAGTTTGAAATGGTGAATATTAGACACATTCCTCTACTTAAGAATCAGGAGGACAATGATTTGGTTCAAATTAATTCTGGGTATAAAATTTCGAAAGAAAAATTAGAAGATGCGATCGAAGTTTGAGGGAACCAGATTATCTTCAAAATATTTGGAAACAACAAAGTTGGGCTATGCAGATGAAAAGAACTCTGAGATATTGGCTATCAACAACCTGACAGATGCAGATTGAAGAAAACCAATATTAGATTAATTAGAGAATCCAACAACATTTGCAGAGCAAAAAGTCAGATATCATTCTTTAACTTATCCTCTTGCGGGAAATGAATTGTTTAAAAAGACTCCCGAGGGAGTTTTACTCAAATGCCTTAGTGACGCTGAGACATACTTAGCCCTGTAGAATGTCCACAGTGGGGCATGTGGGGCTCACCAAGTAGGCCACAAGATGAAATGTGTTTTGTTTCGACAAGGGATGTATTGGCCTACTATGGTGAAAGTTTGCATCGAGTTCTCTAAAGGGTGCCAAGAGTGTCAGATACATGCAGGTATGCAACACGTCCCTGCAAGCGAACTGCACTTTATTGTCAAGCCTTGGCCCTTCAGGGTTGGGCATTAGATATGGTTAGTGAGATTCAACCAGCATCTTCTAAAGGTTAGAAGTACATCCTAGCAGACATTGATTACTTTACTAAATGGATTGAGGTCATACCTTTGATAAATATTGATTAAGAAGCAGTGATCGAGTTTATCCAAAGACACATAATTTATAGATTTGGGACCCCGAAGACCATCACAACTGATCAAGGGTGATCAGTGCATCTTCATACACATTCTTCCATTGTTATACTTAGGCATTCATACAGTTTATTTGAGTATTTTTACTATCTTAATGTGTTTTCATAATTTAGTTTGTTTCTACCTTTATTATATTTTCGCAACTTATTTTCAGCATTAACAGTTATTTGATATCTGTCCATTGTTAGAATCATAACTAAAGCTATAAGAACCAGATTGACACGTTCTAATAGGCGTTAGAAAGCTAAGAAAGAGAGCTAAAACTTGTATATTTTAGGCAGAAGCTGATTCAGAGTGTAGCAGGCTCGAATAATTCATTGAAGTCAGAACCCAAATTTTTTCTTTAGGAATATTTAATTTTGGGCCGGGTTTTTTATGTTTTTCGACCCAGTTGGGTTAGAACCGGAATCGGTGATGCTTTCATATACCTAATAGCCACGCTACTGTAGCTTTTAACCTTCTTTCACAATTTTACATTTTGCTTGACACGGAAAATTCATGGAGAACTAATTTCAATTGTTGATTTGTTGTATTCGGTTCTGACACCTTGAGGTTATAATAATTTCAATTTAGTTTTTATTTCTTTCAATCTTATTCTATGATTTTTGCTTGCTTAATCCAAATTTCATAGAGTTTTTTTGGTTTAATTCGATTTTTGTATGGTCCTTAACCATAATCACGTTAGCGATTTGTTAATTCGTTATCATGATTGATCAAATCGTGTTTGCTTAATTCACAGGGGCTTAATTCCGTTTGCTTAATTCGAATAATAGGAACCTACATCACACATACAAATTGCGATTGTCAATGAGTTTGTAATCGAATATGAATAAATAATCCGTTAGGAGATTGAAATCATAATAACCGATGATTGGTAGGAACCAATCAGCAAATTAACTTTTCAGCTTATTTGATAATCACTTATTTTAATCACTTTTTCTCTTATTTTATAAATTGAAACTCAAAACCCCTATAAACCTTTTACTTAGTTGCTTAATTCAATTCAATAATCCTTGTGATACGACATCCGAGTGTCGCTTTCCTTTACTACTTTTTAAAAAATACTTGTTTTTAATCTGTGTGTGACATCGAATCAAAGGGTCAGTATTTACTGGTCGAAAGGTCCAGGACTTTGCTAAAGAAGAAGGGTTCAAACTGTTAACATCTACGCCTTATTATGTCCATAAAAATGGTCAATTATAAATAGCGAATAATGTGATAATCGGATTGATAAAAAAACATGTGGGGGAAAAAGCCAAGAAATTGGCACGAGACGTTGGATCAAAATTTGTGGGTCTGTCGAACCTCCTCTAAAGAGGCTACAAATTCTATGCCTTTTTCGATTGACCTATGGCCACTATGCAATGTTACCAGTCAAAATTTATCTCCAATCAACTAGAATTCAAAGACAAAATGAAATTCCATCTGAATCCTACTGAAATATGAAGTTGGGCGAAGAAAGGTTGAATGCCTTAGAGTTATTAAAGAGGCAGCAAAAATGGTAGAGAAAGCATATAATAAAAAGGTCAAAATCAAATCATTTTTAGTAGAAACTTAGTGTGAAAAGTAATTCTACCTATGGATCAAAGAGATAGGATATTGGGTAAATGGTCCCCAAAACGAGAAGGTTCGTTCCAAATTGTTCAAGTTTTTTCCAATATTGTATATGAGATCGAAAAGTTTGTTGAGGATTGAGGAATCCTGAGAGTAAACGGAAAATATTTGAAAAACTATAAGTCGACACTTCAGGAAGTTAAAATATTAACAGAATAGTTCGAATGCAAGATCGAAGTCAAAATGGTAACTAGATTAAAAGTGCCAAAATGGCTAAAGTCATTACATTACAAATTCTAGGGTTGAAATAAAAATCCGAACAGTTACAACATGAGTAAAAATAACTAAAAAGGGAGAGCAACCTTCACGCGTTCATACTTCATCTTCGAAAGCGACAGGCGGCGGTCGATCACAGACTTTTTGGAGTTGAGATAGGAGTGTGATGATTAACTGAGATTTTTGCACGTCTTGATGAGACGTTTGAAGAAACATGGTCATGATGACCATGACGTCATAGTAGTAAAGGTGTTGTTGCGTCGAAACGTTTCAAAAAAATACCCTTTTCTCCATATAGTCGAAAATGACATTTTTGAGTGGTAATTTGTTAGTTGAAATTTCGACGCTAAAGAGTATTTAAAATAAGCCACTAGAGCTAAAAGAGATGTTCTGAAAAATAATATATTCATTTCGACGAAAAGTTTGTGAAGATATAGTCGAAGAAGACCCCTTACACAGAGGGAGATTTTGGTCTGAGACTTAGAAATATTATTAGGTTCAGACTTAAGTTCGACGGAGATGTTCGTTTGGAGTTGCGTTCAACGAGCGCAATTCAAAATAAAGTTAATAATTGTTTTTTAACCTTGTCAGTTTCTTGAGAAGACACGTGGAAAGCTGTAAGTAGCGAAGTCCATGCAATCGAGAACGTGTCATCTTCTGAAGAAGAGATCATTTGTTACCGATATTTCTGATTTATTATAAATAGGGATCTTAGTGATTAGGATTCATGTATTCCATTTCGTAGAAAAACTCAAATATTACTCAAAGTATTCGTGTTGTTAAGAAACGAGTCCCTGAGTGCAATGTACGTGTGATCACCATTTTTACACCTTTTATATCAAATTATTTACGATTTTGTTATTTACATTCGTTGTAAATTTACTTTAAAGTTATTTACATTGTTATTTACATTTCTGCGTATTTTTACAAACTTTAACATTACTTTCAACGAAAGGAACATTGTCGAAATGTTCATAAGTGATAAAACTTGAAGAAAATAAAAGCACATGTCTTAGGATCAATCTAATCGATCCTGCGAGTAATCAAAAATATAAAATTTGAAAGACTATCAATTGTTTACCAATTTCAACGGTAAACAGTGCCACCATTTAAATATAATAAAAAAAAGCCTTTGTAAATATCATAATTTTTTTAGGTATAAAACTTCACAATTTTTCCTTTTCAATATCTCGTCCAAAGAGCTTTGAATGATAGAAGGCTAAAATTTGTCAAGTGTAAAGCGCCCATGAAAATAGATTTCAATCCACTGCATTTCGAGGAGGCCAGTTATGTTGAACCTATGGATTGTTGGAATAATGCAAGGATATGGGCTTAGGCCCAACAAGATTTATTTTAAAATTTTGTACTAATTAATTTTCAAATAAATTTTTAAAAAACTTAATTAAAATTAAAATAATATTAATAAATTAATTATCCTCATTTTATCATAATCATCATTGATACATCTATGAAATTGAAGGAGGATCGACTAAATTCTAAATAATATAAAGTTCAGAAACCAAAAAATAATTTTTAAAATAAAAATTAAAAATCATCAAGTTATGGGAACTAAAACTATATTTAAACTTTATTTGTATAATATATAAATGAAAGATGAAATTGTTTAGCTTGAATAAAAATGCTTAGTTTGAATGAACAAGAATATAAGTGAAAGTATTTAGTTTGAATAAAAAGGAATAGAAATGTTTAGTTTGAATGAGCAAGAATATAAGTGCTTAGTTTGAACGAACATGAGTGGACATTAGACATCTTTTTGTGTCTTTAGACTTGATTTCAAATGCAATACAATGGAAAAGGAAAGACTGATTGCATCATTTAAAAGTGTGTCTGAATTTTAATGTCTGAGCAGGTGTGTGAATATTGAAATCCAAATATATATTTTTAGTTACATTGAGTGAGATTAAAATAAAGAAGTTTGTTGAATTGTGATGCGCTGGGATTGAATCCAAATATATTTTTTAGTTGCATTGAGTGCAATTCAAATAAAAGATTTGTTGTACTGTGATGCGTTTGAATTTCAAACCTTATCGTGTCTCATTTATTAACTAGGAACATTTTATTATTTAAGAAAACACCTGTCAATGAAATGTAATTGTCTTTATAAGAGTAGAAGCATTAGGGTATACATTGTAACTGGGTTGCAAGAAGCAAGCACAAACCCCTACCATTCCAAGACAGACAATTCAACTTTTTAACTACAAACTAGCCTTCCATTGCAACAGCTTTGCAATTGAATCCATTTCGCAAGGGAGTGCAAAACTAGGAATTTAACTTGTCAACTATACAAAACCTATATGAATTTGGCAAAGTTGTGTATAGTTCAGATACTTTATTTATAAAAAGAAACAGTCAACACATCACATAAACTAGAGACAATTTTCATTGAGCTCAATGCTAAACGCACTTCAATAAAATTTGTGCAGAGAAAAGTTTCTTAGAAGCAGGCGTCCAATAGGCAGCAGCAGCAGAGAGCAGCACAACTGCACCAATATACATATGCAGACAAGTTAATATTAGCCATGAAAAATCTACATCATACATAGCCCACCCAATCTCATCAAAGAGAGAAAGTATTGTAAAAAACGACATCCTTCAATCTCTTCTGCCAACTTTTTAACCAAGCATTATTCTTCCTACGAATATTTTGATGCCTATTATTCTATACATTATGAAATCCTTCCTACTTTCTATTGAAATCTACAGAGGAAATTCCAACTAGATTTGCTTCGAACCCGTTTGAATCTCCCTAAAATCTCATAATGAAAACAAACAAAGCTTCCTTGAAAGAGTATATACTAAGGGTTTCGGCTTCCAGTTCTGTTAGAAAAAAAAACCTTTGATTATCTAGATTAGTTTAAAATGGAATTCTATTAAAAAAAATGAAAAATTTTACGAGATGAATTATCATTTGAAAGAGAATATACAATGAGGCCGGTTTAACTCGTAAATCGACCGGATCTGAGTCAGGGATTCAAATAAAAGGAATGCATGGGTGAGAGAGAGAAAGAGAAACGTTACGTACCAGCCTTGCAAGCAACCAGATGAATTATTGTTGTGTTGATGAGGAGGTGGTTGAGCGTATTGAGGAGCGTATTGTGGAGGATAGCCCTGGGCTGGGTACGGTGGCGGAGGATATCCCTGCGGTGGATAACCGGGCGGTGGATATCCTTGCGGTGGGTATCCTTGCGGTGGATATCCTTGCGGTGGGTATCCTTGCGGTGGATATCCTCCTTCCTTTCCGTATCCGTCCGGCGGATAACCTAAAGGAAAATGAGAATGGGAAATGAGTAAAGAAAATGAAGGGAAATGGCATGCATGCAGAAAGAGAGAAGAAACCTTGCGGCGGCGGAACTCCGACCGGTGGTTGTTGCTGGTTGTAATAACTCATTGGTGCTGCGTGATGGTGATGTGTTGCTTTCTTTGTTAAGAAAATGAATAGTATTAGTACTATTATTTGTTTATTTATTTGTTGGAGAGAATAATGGAGAGTGTGAAAGAACAAAACAACTGAATCCTCGTCATCACACGTCATTACCTACTGTCCATTATTTTAAATTACTTTCCAAATCAAAGGACCAAAACAAAACCTACGCATTATATAGTTTCTAAGCTGGTTTATATTAAGAAAAAAAAATTTTATGGTGTCGTTCATATTTTTGAAAATCTAAAATTATCTTTAAAAATTTTTTGGAGATATATTATTGGATGTATATTATATTTTTTAAAAAACAACCTATACTTTAAAAAAAATATACAAAAAAATTAATCATATTTTCAAAAAATTTATCAAAGTGACGTAATTTCAGATGATAGTAACATCGATACGCCAAGTAAAATAGCGCATCCCTTTGAAATTCTTATCATGCACCATTTGGAATGGCTCATCCATCTCCCCCAAGTCATTTTATATGGTGTCTCCCTTTAAATTTTATACATATGCGCCATATGAAATGATGTCTCCACCTATTTTTTTTAATCAGTTGTGTATACGCCATTTGAAATGAATACTACTACATATTCCCTCCTCTATATATACTACCTTGTCTTCGTATTTATTTGCATCAACCTTTCATTTGATTTTGCACCACATTCTCTTCATATCTTCTTCCATTTTTATGTTAAAATGACTTCATCTTCTTCCTCTTCTTCCTCCAAATATCTCTACCAAGTTCCATATATCCACAAGAGAAATGTCAATTTAATTTTCTCGCCAGTCAAACCTCCAATGGAGATTCGCCTTTGGAATACACTGACGTTAGAACATCTTAACATGAGTCTGGTCCGCTGGTTAGATGGAGACATTTCAGAGGGTGAAAAGATCAGAATAATTCAAATGCTTGTTACCACGTTCAACCAAAATGGAGAAGTTCGTTTCTGGTAGAATTTTACTAATGACCAAGATGTTCATACGTTGATGTATAATTTTCAGAAAATTGTCCTGGTGGTTGTAATCGCTTTGTTATGTTGTTTAGGCAGTATATTTGTTTGTTTTCTTGTTCAAGTGTTTAAATTATTGTTACTTGTTGTTTTTAAATTATTGTTATTGAATGTTGTGATATTAATGGAATGAAAGTTGTTGTTGATATAAAGAGACAAGATTACATTTAAAACTATGATGCTATGCTTGATCCTACATTGAGATATTTTGTACGATTGTACCTGGGCTGACGACACTAACTACATAATCTGACCATTTTGTTTGTCGTATCTATCTACGTTCAAATACGCGTGCTATTAGGGAGACCCTTTTTCTTTCTTTGCATAACTTCATTATGCCAAAAAAATTCACCTTCGTATGCAGACAAGTAGTCCTTATTTGCTACTATATGAAAGTTAGTGTTGTAGATATTGCATAGACTAATAACTTGGTAAACAACGAACAAATAGTTGAAAATGCCTTCTGGCTACATGCAGTAACAACAACCTTACATGAACAATCAAACTTATGTAAGAAACACCATTACTATTTCGACAAATACTATCGACAAAGAATACTTTTCTTTAAACTAATCATTCAAACTTCAAACCTAAATAAACCACATTTGGTTATACTTAAATAATACTACAACTTGCAAAAGATATAAATAACTGACACAAACATCTCGATCTTAATCTTACTTAAACAACACGACAACCTTCAAATTCATTCATAACACTGAGACAAATAGACCGATTTATAATTCATTCCTTCAAGCATTGTTCCTTCTTTGACGTCTCCAAACCCTAACGTACATCATCTGTGGAGCAGAGCGGTAATGACATAATAAAATATTGAAGGTGATAAAAATACAAGGGGAAGGTTGAATTATGTTGACTTTTTCTTTCTTTTTAAGTTCTTAATTCACACTCTAAATACAAGGTTATAGAATCTAATTTAGTTAGAGATAGGCAGCGGATATAATATGCAAGAAACAAGAATAACACGCAGATTTATCCCGGTTCCTCTCACAACTCGAGAGTAATTAAGTCCCATTGTACTACAAGAGATTTTCACTATAACCACACAAGATTACAATTTACTCAAGCAGAAAAGCAAGAGAATTCCTTTTCTCAAACACATAAGTAAGAAACTTCCTTACTCAAGCACGCAAGTTAGAGATTTCCTTTGCTAAAATACACAAGTAAGAGACTTCCTTGCTCAAACACACAAGCTAGAGACTTCCTTTACTCAAATATACAAGTAAGAGACTTTCTTGCTCAAATACTTAGTAAAATACTTCTTACAATCTATCTAAAAGATAAAATATTGTTGGAAAATACACTTGATATACAACCAGAGGTGTAAAAAGAATACACAACAAATAAACTCTAAAAGACTTAAGGATTTCTAAGATGTACAAGGATAAGAAATCCTAAGATTAACTTGTGTTAATACTTTGACAAAGTAACTTCTCTCTTTGTTGTCAATTGATCTACTTTAGCATTTGTGTGTGTGTATGTATCTTCGAGTCTTTTACGTTCTTAAATGAAGAAGAAAAAATTCGTTGAAGATGCAACATAGTAGAGTCTTTTGAGAAGCTTCAAAATAGACGTTGGGATGTTTCACCAAATTGTCTGGTTAGGTAAAAGCTAGTTTAAAAAACCTTTTCTACAAAAGGAATTAACAGTTGAATCCCAGAAAACCTTATGAAGAAGATAGAGCTTAGGTCATCATGTGACAAAGTATGTTCAGAGATGAACAGCGTGTTAGAACAAGATGTATTCTTGATATTTTCTCTTTTATTTTTTATGATAACAAAAGTATTAAAAGAAAAATGGTTATTTGATGTGTGTTTTATTAATGCAGTTTCTTATACAAATAATCATAATCTGTTTACTTAAGATACACTTTGAGTTTCTTCATTGCTAGCTTCTAGTGGCAGAGTTTGAATAATAATTTCTAGTGTGGTTTGGCGAAGACTCTGAGCTGAAGGCCTCAGTACTCAAATGAGTTTCTAAACTTAGTAATTGTATATCAGCTTATGATACTATTCAGAGTTGGTGATAAAGTTGTGGACTACCCGTATTACTGAAAGTATGTTGTATTATCTTATCAGTTTATCAGCTCGAGTCTACAATATTGCAAGGCTCAAGAAAAGCTGGTACGTTATATGGGTGTCTGCTCCCAACGAGTCTATAAGTACAAAACCTCTTGAAGACTCAAAGGTTAAATGTGTTACACAAAAGATTCAGAAACCTGTTGTGCATCCATCTTCAATGTCTCTTGTACTATGGAAAAAAACCAAAGAAACTTGATCAAGTAACCTTCTCAACAACTAGTTTCTAAAAAGGCTATATATATGGCTGAAGATTCAAGCCTGAATTTTAACAAGGATTCTTTTGTTGAATGAGTAGTAAGATCAAGCAATTATCAAATCTATGTAATAGGCATATTTTATGTTGTAGGTTGTAATTGTAAAAGCCTTAAGATTTCTTACCCCTGTATATATTTAGAAATCTTAAGTGTTTTAGGTCTTTGTTATGGTGATCTCCTGTACCGATGATGCTCACATCATGTACACCTTGTTCTCTATTCTTTTGATCCTTAAGTAGTTTAGATTAAGTCATCTGCTGTGTGCTAGAGCAAAAAGTATTGTCTCATTGGGATTCGCGCAATAAGTCTTGAGTCAAGATGCTTAAGCCACGTAAGTCTTACTGCTTAAGTGCTTGAGCTTTAAAAGTCTTATTCAACTAGTCTGGTTGAGAAAAAGTAAAATCTTAGACATGTGCTCTAAGAAAAGGTAAGTCTCAGCCAGAAGATAGATGAGCGGGTGTCTCAGTCAGATGGTGTGAGTAAAGTAAAATCTTAGACATGTGCAAGTAAAGGAAAGTCTCAAACAAAAGACAGATGAGCAGGTGGCTCAGTCAGATGGTATGAGCAAGGTAAGTCTTAGACATGTGTTCTAAGAAAATAGAAGTCTCAACCAGAAGGCAGATGAGTAGGCGACTCAGTCTGATGGTGTGAGTAAGGGTAAGTCTTAGACATGTACTCCAAGCAAGGGAAGTCTCAGACAGTTGGTCTGAGCAGTTGTAAAAGTCTTATGCAGAAGCATAAGCGATTGCAATCACGAAGTGGTTATTATGAAAATCTCTTGTGAGACAAGGGGAATGGATTACTTTTAGTTAGGGGAGAAACCAATATAAATCTTTTGTATCTTTTGCTATTATTTTATTTACTTCTGTTGTATCCACTGCCAACTGAATTAACTCAGAATCTAAACACCAGTTCTGATTCTGAGACTCTGATAAGAAGCTAAATAATAAGAAAAAAGTGAAACACAATTCAACCCCCCTTCTTGTGTACTTTTTACACCTTTAATTGGTTTCAGAGAATGGTCTATGCTTAACACTTAACAATGGTGCAAATATTGATCCAATAAGAAAAGTATATTTCTTCTTCAAGAAAGAATCAAGTGTCACATGAAAAATATTATACGACTTTTCCTACCATATTCAAATGGGTGATTCCATTGAATTTAAATGATGGAAAAGTTAAACATATTTTTAACTCATTGGACTTGATAAAGAGTTGTTGAAGGTCTATAGAATATCCTTGAAAATGACATTACTATAAAAGTCGATGGTGTTATACATGATCTTCTTGAAAATCTCTTTCATTAACTCAGAAGATGCATATTGAATATCTTCAGAGATAGCTTCATTATGGTAGATGCATTATCTCACTTCGGAGTATATCAACACCATTTATATGTATGATGCATGGACTATCTTTGCAGTATTATGATTGGGTTTGTGGGGATTGGTTTATGAAGCTTGAACTAGTTACACTTCATCTAATATTTTCAAGCAAATTCTGAGAGGACTGTTTCTTTACTTAAATCTAAAGTCACCATTTTTTTTTGTGGTTACATCCTGAATCTGCTATAGTCTGAAGATTTGTCTTGCAAT